TTTCTATATTCACATTACTTTTTGACAATTAGCACATGAAAAAAATGATCGAGATAATATTCCTCTTTTATTAGAACATAACAAACATTGAGATAAGCTATTACCAGTTGGGTGTGGGTGTGGGTGTGGATATATTAAGAGAAGACCTACACTCGCATCCACACCCCACACCCACACCCGTTCTTTGAGTCCGTTTCTTATGTGATAGAGAGAAAGAATGTTACTCACGTGGACCATGTTTTTTTCGTCGTCCTTTCGCTTGCGAATGATGCAGTTAAAAAAATAGGATCAACGAGAATCCTTTGACGATAAGTGCTTCGAATTTATCATCAAAAATTACTTTGGAAGCTATGAAAAGTTGTTTCTTATCTCTGGTTAAGCATTACAAAAGAGACATAGATGGCATTTATTTTCATTTACAATAGATGATCAAAGCTAAACAACAACAAAAACATGTATATCTGAGACTTCGAACGGTAAACTCTTTCAGAGTAAAGTATTGTAGAATTTAAAAAAAAACAAATGAAATTGGATGGATTGATTTCGACACTGATTTACCTTGATGACGAGTTAGAACTCTATTATTCATTATTACATCTGAACGATAAGCAAATCCAGATGGAGATGCTACATTGGAAATAATAATTGATTATCGGCCAAAAAAAGACATTTAGGAAAACTTTGAGATACACAAATTGACCTACGAGGGAATCTTTCGAGGTGAGAAGAAGATTTTGAGACAATACTTGTGTCATTAGATTGAAGCTACGTGTATGATAGCGATCATAAGTCCATTAAAATGGTCATAATTCGAGAAGACAGCAATAAGCGGACAAATCACTATAGATTTTGTCTAGTCACAATAGACTCAACTTGATGACACAAGTCTCATCTCTCACAATGCAAAAAGTGACACTATACCATTTACGTGCATAGGATACTATGCTGTTCCTGATGAAGTAGAAACGTCGAGAGTCCCAGAAGAGGTTATACGGTCCTAGAAATTTTCTCTTCATATATCGTTGAATCGATTATAAAATATTGAAATTTATAAATGAGAACAAAAAGATTTATTTGAGATCAGGAATGAGAAGATCATAACCAACAAATTGTCTCCCATCTTGATGCTTATGAGCGCTCTCTAACCATAATCGAACTCTCAAATCATGACTTCCAATCTGTCGTTTGTCCATTTGAATAATCTGATGACACAATTCTCCATTAGTATGGTCATGAATCGGAGGTTGTTGACTACCATGACCTTTTTGATTAGAGGTTGGACCTAAACTGGTTGGTACAACAAGATTCTCTTTGCATGGAAAGCAATGAAGACATCGCGTTTGAACAATAGTGACAGCGGACATCAGGATATTTGAACACTGTTCGAAATAGCACCAATTGCGATTAGGACGAAATTTTTTATGAAAAACTTTTCTTCCATTTTCTGGTCCTCTTTCAAAAAAATCAATCACTTCTTCTTCAGTATTATCGACTGGATTCCATTTAGATTTGAAATGATGAGCAACGCGAATGGCCATTTTCGATGGAGGCATATTGACAATAGCAGATGAAATAATCTGATACATTAGCTTAGCATCATTGATTGGTAATGGTGGATGAGATCCTTTCGTTTGAAATCGACTAATACCACAACAATGCACATCACCACTAAAATAACTGATTCGAACTTTTTTCTCTTCGGCAATTTTTTGAAAACGAAGAAGAGCACGATTTCGCTCGTCAATATGATCTGCATGAGTCCATTCATCAAGAAGATCATCGTAAAGTTCAGGTAAATCGAAGATTGAATTTGTTTTTCGGATAAGTGGAACATGTCGACTTTTATTCGGAAGTTTTTTTAAACGTTCGAAAATCGATTCAGCAATATGAACACGAATAAATGAAAATGGAACAGGAAATAAAATGATTAGATGTTCGACTTCTTCAAGATCATTCTCAAGTTTATTGAAAATCATATCCCATGTCTTTTCATGTTGAACAGTTTGTGTGTTACGTTCAGTTCGTCCATCAGCACCAATGATCGCTAAATGTGGACCACAACGAGAGAAAAAATTATATCCTTCATGTCCAAATAAATGATGCTGTCGAGCTTTCTCTGGTGTAGTATGATGTTGAAAAAGAAGTCGCATTTTCTGTGCTGCTTGAAATAATCCCATCATCATTGGACTATCATGAAGTAAGGGAGGATAAGATCCAACTCCATCAAAAATATCATGATCATCCCACATCATTAGACTAGGAATCGATGTTAAAGCTCTTTTCACTTCGGCACGACGATCCCAATTTTGTGCATAAGTATTAAAATGATATTGTTCAACTTGTTCTTTTAAATCATCTCGAAAATCAGTCGTCCATTTTTGATTCCATTCCATATTGATCCAAGCACGAAGAAATGGGATATCTTCAAAAATAAAATCAATATAATTTTGATCACCTCCCCACAGTAATAAATGTAATGGAGTTTCTTCATGCACGGACAGAAGATGTTTCCAAACATTAGAATAAGTCAAATCCGATGCCACTTGTTTCGGAACATAAGCATCAAATCCATTACAAGAGAAGAAACCTCCACGCCATTTTTGATCACGACGAGCGACAAGAAATAAACCATCGGTTTTTTCATTACCCCAATCAATTTTCCAAA